AATAAAATGAAAATTAGTGCTTAAATTTTAGAGACATATTTCCATCTGTGCATCAAGGGTATGTGAATTGTATTCCAAAGGCTGGTACACCTAATTTAAAGTATTAATATTGTACATTCTACGTACTTGCTTATGTATTCATGCACATGTGCATTACAGATATGCATAACCAGTTGAATTGATAAAATTCAATTCACTTAAACAAACATTCATAATGCACCTATATACAAGATACTACACCTTGGAGTCCTATCAGGAGTTTAAAATTCTTCACAGACACTTCCTTATTATTTTCATATTGTATAGAAAAGGGAACTGAATAAGCAAGGTTAAAGGACATATGAAAACCAAAGAAAAAGACATCAAAAGCATGATGCCTCATATTTTACTCTGCAGTGTATTTAGAGAGAATGGACTTTAAAGATTCCATTGCTATTTTTACAAACCAAATGGAAACAAAATAGGGGAAGCCTCTTCCTTTTCCCCCCAACTGATATAAGGCCTTGGTCTCTATGTGATGAGGTAGTCCTCAGAGTGAGATAGCCCTTTATGGTATTTATGATGATTGCCCCATATGTCAGGGATACTGTGGATAGCTTTGTTTGGAGAAGCCCATGTGCACTCTAGAGCAAGCATTGACTTTCCCTTCATTGCTGCAGCCTCCACCTCAGCTTTGATTGTATCTGCCAGTATTCTTAGAGGCATAATTCTATTCCATGCCAACAACAACAAAAGATGCAGAAATAATGAGGGAGAAATTGTTTGTTTGCTTGGTTTTCTTGGTTCAAAGCTATGACTGCAATTCAACTTCCATGAAGGAAACTCCCTCAGTCAATGCAGATCTGCAGTGGTTCTGAAACTTACATTCTTAGAAGGTTTCCTGAGGACCCTGACAGGACAGGACTTGAAATCAGGACTTTCTGACCATGAAGCCAACCCTTGATCCACTATCCCATGCTGCCTGATGAATTCTAGTCTATCCACAGAGTTTGCCCTTTCAGAAATAAGAAGCTTAGCAATGATGGACATACATTTGGTCAGTGAACATTTACTAAGCACCTACTCTGTAACAGGCACAGAGGTGGGTACCAAGTTTAGCTAAGACAAGGCCCTTGCTCCTATGCACCTTAAAGCCCTCATCCATCTAATCATGCAAGTTCACAACTTCCAAATAATCCTTTACTCTTCCCTCTTTCTCATTCCAGCAATAAGTAAGTTGCAAAGCCTTGTCAACAGCACTTCCAAAATACCTCTTGAATATAAATCCTTCTTCCCAATCAGGCCCTCTTCATACCTTTCCTAGATTTTTGCCATCCATCCCACATACAACCCAGCACGTAATCTTCGTACAGCACAGATCTGACCTTGTAATGTCCTTAGTCAAAAGTCTTCAATGATTCCCTATCAAATCTTGGTTAAAATATAAATCTCCTAACCTCACATTTAAATCCATCCGCCACTGGGGTCCCACTTAACCTTGTAAGACATTTCATAATTTTCCCCTTCACAAAATCTCTAGCCAACTCTCCTACATCCATATCTTTCTTTACTTAGGCTCTCCTCCATATTGTATATAGGGTCAAACAATGGATGTTGGCTTTGCTGGACCTTTTTTCCTTTTTATAAACTTTTGGCACAAGGGGAGATTTTCTGGGTGGGGGGGAGATAAAGGCTTCATCCCCAGCTTTATCTTTTAGCTTTCTTCAAGGCTCAACTCCAGTGCTGTCTTACATAAAGGTTTCCCACCTTCCCCAAGTTTCTAGTTCTGTCTCTTCAAATTACTTTGTGTTAACTTATCTTTTTTTTTTTACATCTGTATCCTAGTAGAATGTAAGCTCTTTGAGTGCAGAGACTATTTCATTTTTGTGTTTATATTTCCATCTATGCTTAGCATTGTGCCTGTCACATATTAGTCACTTTATAAAGATTTGTTGGATTGGAGTGAATTAAATATTGGAAGATAAATGTACTAGGGAGGTGAAAAACAAAATGCTAGTAGATGTCTGAGGGTGAAAGTGTGACCATCCCGGGAATGGGAAATACTTAATGGAGATAATAGCACCTGAGTTGAATCACAAAAAAAAAAAAAGAGTAAGGAACTGTAGGCAAAGAAATAGAGGGAGGTCATTCTAGGAAAAGGATGTGAGCAAAGGCATGGGTATGGGATACTATAATGAGCAAAGACTTGGGATTGGGAAAGTCTCAGTTTTTCTGAAACATAAAGTCCATGTTATAGAAGAATATTGGATAAGGCTGGAAAGGCAAGGTGGTGCCAGATTGTAAAGGGGTTTTTTGTTTGTTTGTTTTAGGGCAAAGGAGTTTGAATTTTGCTCATGAATCAATGGAAAGCCACTAGATAGAGTTTTTTGTCTTTTTGTTTATTGGAGTCTTGTTTATACATCACTCTGATGCTTACCATCTGTATGATCTTGGGCAAGTCACTTAACCAACCTGGGCTTCCATTTCCTTATATGTAAAATGTGGGGATTGGACTAAATGGCTCTGAGGTTCTTTTTAGATCTTGATCTGTGGTCCTATGATTCTATAACCCTATGTTCCTCTCTCCATTCTCTGCAAGCCTTTACTAATAAGTACTAAAAAAAAATTTTAAGTTTAGCAAACCCAAACTTTTCCATGCAGAATTCCACACCTGTCATCCCCCACCTCTCCAATACAAGAAGGAGGATATATTTTCTTAACTCATCTCCAAACCAATGTTGGCCATTATAAGTACAGCAAGTTCCATTTCATTTTATCATTCTTTCCTTTTGCATTAGTCATTATGTCTATTGTTTTCCTGGTTTGCCACTGAAGACTTTGAGCAAAAGAATGAAGATAACCAGATCTATGGATAATTCTAGTGGCAGTATTAGGTGTTGGAGAAAGGAGTGATCAGAGGAGAGGAGGGGAGAAGAAAGAGAGGAGAGAGGAAAGGACAGGGGAGAAGAGGACAGGGGAGGGCAAGAGAGGAGAGAAGAACTACTATCAGAGTAGGGACTAATACCAACTTGGCAACTATTAGAATTAAGAGGAGTATTCTGGGGATACTTAATTGATTAGTTATGAGTGGTAAGGGAGAGGAAAGAGTTAAAGATAACAAAGTTATAAACATGGAAGGTAGAAAAGTGTCACAGACTAAAATACTGAAGTCAGAAGAAGCCACAGGTTTAGGGGACAAATCATAAGCTTGGTTTGGGACACACTAAGTTTGAGATGACCATGGCATAATGCCAGTTCCCAGAATCAGGGAACCTACGTTCAATTTGCACCTCAGATACTACTTGAGTGTCTGTAGGCATATAACAATTTCTCTGGGCCTCAGCTTCCTCATCTATAAAATGAAGGGGTTGGACCAGATGACCTCTGAGGTCTAGAACTATGATCCTCTAATCCAGAAGTTCATCACCTTTTTTGTACCACGGACCCTCATTGGCAGTCTTGTGAAGCCTATGAAACCCTTCTCAGAATAAGGTTTTTAAATGCGTAAAATAAAATACATAGGATTACAAAGGAAATCAATTATTTTGAAATATAATTATCAATACGTTTGTGTATGTGTGTACATATGTATACATATACATAGATATATACATATATACATATAATCTATGTATATGTATATGTGTGTATGTTTTTATTCATAGACTCCAGGTTAAGAACTCCTGCTCTGGTCAGATATGTGAATCTGGAATTCACAGAAAGGTGGATGGAATTGCAGACTCAAAATTCATCTATATAGAGATAGCATTTGAAAGAATAGGAGTCAACAGGATCATCACTGCATAGTGTTGATAGAGAAGAGATACTTCAAGTCTTATGATTATATAGCTAGGTTTATATAACCCTCAAACATCCAGATGGATTGGATGGATCCAGAAAATGGAAAATTCATTCAGCTTTGTGAAAGAAAACTGAAAAATTGAATTATCTGGTTATCTGAATAATTGAATTTTTCAGCTTTCATTAGATTTTCTGAGTTATGTTGATGAAGTTTGTGACTAAAGATCAATACTTTTCTATAGCTGTCATCCATCCCCTTATTTAGTATATAATGAGGAAAATAAGTACAAGTATAATTTAGCCTTTGTCTATATAGTACAAATTTCTTATTTTAGGGGTTTTGGTTTTTTGGTCAAAGATAAATGATCAGATGGCTATGGGTAAACAGCTGAAATATATTTAGCAATAAATACCATATGATGATTTAATCAGTTGGTTTTTTTTAAATTATCACTTGGGGAAAATTTCCAGCTTTAAAAGTTCTCTCTAACTCACATCTGAATCTCTCCTCTTACCCATTTTTCTCAACACCCAAGATTTGGATAGACCAAAAGGAAAAGAAAACCTTTCCCCATTCAGCCCTTTCTTCGCCAAACATTTCTACTGTTTCAGAATCTATTGTTTCTGTAGGGGTTAGTATTCCTATATTAATATGCAAATGAGATCATATATGTAAAGCACTTTAGAAACCTTAAGGTGACATATATATGTCGGTTGTTGTTACTATTATGGGCATAGGCATGCACAAAGCATGGTCTTTCTTTACCAACACACTTAGTCCCAACTCTGTATATACCTATAGATCTGGGTAAAAAAATTTGACTCTATTTCTGCCAAGAGGTTTTTTTTTTCTCAAATCCAAAAAACAAATCATTTTGATTTTTCAGTTCAATACCAGTTTTACTCCCACCTCTGGCCCTAGTATTTAATCAGTTGAAAATGTAACAAAGCTTTTTAATAAGGCCATGAATGAAGGGTAAAGACAAGAATTTCATATCACTGAGCTGTCATTCGTAGGCTAAAATCTGCCTTCATTTTCTTCTTATTCCTAATGGTTTCAAGTGAAAAAACTGCACAGGTAACAGAGGACATTAGAAATGAGTATTTCTAATCCAACGCTTAATGTTAAATAAGCCTTTTTAAAAGATTTTCAAAGAAAATGAAAAGCAAAACTATGAGAAAATAATTTTTTCAATAATATTTTTCTTCTTTTTACTAAGGTGAACACACACAAGAAACAAATTCACCGCATTCACTCAAAAAGGATGTAGAAAATATGGGAAAAGGTAAAAAAAAAGTTTTAATTCTATAAAACTTCATAGTTTTAAAAGACTGTAGAGATAATATGAGGATATTTTTGTTCTGCCCCATATTTTAAACTTGACAAGCAACATATGAATAATATATGGACCATTGGGTGGATATAATTGAGATTAATGCATACATATCAATCAGTACATGACACTGTAATATAATACTTTAAAATAATACATTACATTGATTTATATTCATGGATTTCTGCACAAAATCCATCCTGTGTCTATGCAACACTTTTTAAACTGGTAAAATATTTTGTCTTATAATAATAAATTGCCATATAGAACAGTTCTCTGGAGGGTTATTTGTAAAGATTAGTAAAATGACTCTTCTTTTTTCTTTATTAGAAGAACTTCAGAAGGTTTTGTTTGAACAAATAGACTTACGGAGGCGACTAGAACAAGAATTCCAAGTGTTAAAAGGAAATGCATCTTTTCCAGTGTTCAGTAAGAAATCATTTTTATTTCATTGTTTTCATGATATTTCCTAATATTCCATGGCTAAGGTTTCTATGGAGGCTGCATGGCAAAGGGGAAAGCATGCTGGATTTGAGGTCAAAGAACTTGGCTCCAAATCCTAGCTCTACCATAGGCTATTTACACAACCTTGGAGTACCACTCGTGCTCTGATTAGACAGGACTGATTCCCTCACAGGGATGTTATAACACATATTTGTAATTTAATTTGTACTCATTTTAAATTAAATCAGTTTGTGGGGAGGTTTGTGTCATTTTGTTTTTTAGAATTTTATTATCAACCTTCCTCCCACACCCATTACAGACTTCGGTCATTGTGGAGTATCACAAAGCTAGAGTTGGTATCCCTTAAAATTTAAGCAGTGAATTGACACCCAGAAAAGAGCTTTTCAATAGTTGTGGTGCCACTGATGCTCCAACTATGAAAGTCCTAGACCTTGAGTGTCACTTTCAATGCAACTACAAGGCTTGCCTCAGTCTTGAATTACACCAGCTTTACCATAAGTGAATACTGTAGTAACCACTGAACGCTAATAGAGACTGAGGAAAAGGGAGAGATGAAATAACTTAATGGTGAAGAAAAAACAGGCTGGGGAAGGAACACTGATAGAAGTTCATTAGCCATCATTTCCCTTTTTGGCCCTGGAAGGAGATATGTGGTTTGGCAATTCCAATGACTAGGCCTAAAGAGGAAGATAGGTGGAGCTCAAGAATAAGGCAGGATGAATATCAGCGGTGGGGAACCTAAGGCCTTGAGGCCACATGCAGCCTTCTAGGTCTTTGGGTGCAGCCTTTTGACTGAGTCCAAGTTTTACAGAATAAATCCTTTTATCAAGGGGATTTTTTCTGTGAAGTTTGGATCCAGTCAAAGGGCCACACTTCAGGACCTAGAGGGCTGCATGTGGCCTCAAAGCCACAGGTTCCCCACCCTTGGTATAGTAATATAGATAGACTGATCAACAGAAAGGAAAGCAGGATAATCAGTAGCTCTTGAAGGTAAAATGAGGGACTTGCCCAATGTCACAAAGTTAGATAATGGTGTAACTAGGACTTGACCCCAGTTCTGTTTCCTTAGGCCAGATTTCTATACTAAAAAGGAAAAGATATATTTTAAAGGAAGCCTAGTCTAAGTAGATTTCTTAAAATGGATCAGAAAAAAAAAGGTTGGATGACATTGAATAAATCTGTCATCTAAGGACAAATAAAAATCAGTAAGTTATCCCTGTAAGAGGAGATGTTGACATCCCAGTTGTCAAAATGGCTTAATCTCATGTTTCTGTTTTGGACCCCTGCATACAGGGAGATCAATTGTCTTTTGATCCCTCACATATGTCTCCCCATTTCCCCATGAAATCAATATTGGCACAATTTATCTCATTTGGGTTAACAAAAAACAATGCTGCTTATTTTAAAGTAAACAATTTGTAACTTTTCACATGATTACCCTTATTAACTCAGACAATGCAAAGTATTTGCAAGATAATATTGTTTTTTTAAAAAATAAGAAACAAAATTGTATAGTAACACCTGCCAGTTTCAATTCAAGCCTACCATTTATCCTTTTGATCTACACTAAAATGAATACTCTGTCATCGCCATGTATATAAACACTCCAATTAAACCACATAAAATGCACTCTTTTTTCATCTGCATCATATTCCACTGACCAAGGAAGTGGCATGTATGTACCCAAGCTTGAATTATATGTGGTTTAGACACACCACAAAAGAGCAGTCAATTTTACCCCTGATTAAAATAGCAAATATGTATTATGTGCTCTTTAACAGAAGGTGAGGGGCCATAAGACTGGCTGACAGATTTAGATTTACTCAAATGAAATAGCATAAGGGGAAAACCAAACTCAGTAAAAAGAAAGAAAGAAAGAAATAGCCCATCCAGGAAGCAAGAAAACATAAAAGAATCCCCTTGAGAGGTTTTAGTAGGAGGTGGCATTCCAGGAATTACAGTATGAGCAAAGGTTTAATGAACAGTGGACACCGAAGCAAAACCATTAAAGTTAAAATGTAGGTATATTGGGCCCCCAGAGACCATCCACATTGAGTTAAGACATTGCTTTCCAGAGTTGGGTCCAGGACTCCTGAACTTGCACCAATTTCATGTAACGGTTTCTAGGATAAAAGATATTCTTAGGTTAAGAGGATTAGAAACCAAGGGGTAGGAGAAAGATGTGTCCTAATTTGGTGCTGTTATACATACATACATATGTGTATGTAGATGTGTATATGTGTGTATGTGTCTGTACATATGTATATATGTACATGATTACCTATATATACATATATTAAGGCAAAGAAGAAGAAACAAGTAAATCTTTGAGGAAAAGAAATTGTGTGAGGGGATATCAACCTAGAGATATTTACTATATATACATATATGTATATATATATATATACATATACATATATCTATATATTTCTATCTACCTATCTATATTAAATGCTTGATAAAGTTTTATTGATCTATTTTGTGGGGGTTTTGGTCATTTCTGGACATGTTCCCTCCCATGTGACAAGAAAAACAGTTTGGCAAAACTTAACAGATATATTGATCATGTCTGACAGTGTTTGAAATAGCCTATAACATAGTTCCTGTCTCCCATCCATGAAAGCAAGAGAATGTGTTTCATTATCAACCCTCCAGGACCAAGATTAACCATTGCATTTAATCTGATATAAGTTGCCTTTTAGTGTTATTTTCATCTACATTATTGTAGTTGTGTTATATATATAGTTCTCCTGGATCTGAGTTCTTCATTCTGTATCAGTTCATACAAGTTTTCCCATCTTTCTTTAATTCCTTGTTTTTATCATTTCTTACAATCCAATGGTATTGCATTCTGGTCATTTACCACAATTTGTCCAACCATTCCCTAATCAACAGACATCTACTTCGTTTCCAGTTTTTTCTAGCACAAAAAGTGCTGCTATGATTATTTCGGTATATATGGGATACTTCTTGGTATCTTTAACTTCCTTATACTCTATTTAAAGCAAGAGTTGGATCAAAAAGCATGAAGAGCTTAGTGACTTTTCTCACATTAATTCTCAATTGTTTCTAGAGTAATTTAACCAATTTCCATTTCTACCAACAATGTATTAGTGGGCTTATCTTCCCTAAGCCCCTTCAGCATTGACTACATCCATTTTTATCATTTTTGGCAATTTTACAGGTGTGAGGTTAAACTGAGAGATATTTTCCCCAATACATTTTTATTTATTTCATTAAATATTTCTCAATTACATGTAAAAAATTAACATTCTTTTTATTTTACGTTACAAATTCTTTCCCTCCCTCCCTCTCTCTCTCCCTTCCCCCTTTCTTGAGAAGGCAATTTGATATAGATTGATATAGATATAGATTGATGCAGATTCACATATGTACATGTGAAGTCATGCAAAATATATTTACATATTAGCCATGTTGCAACAGAGAACACAGTCAAAACAAGAAAAAGAAAGTAAAAAAGTATGCTTCAATCTGCAATAGTTCTTCTCTGAAAATGGATAACATTTTCCATCATAAGAACTTTGGAATTCTCTTGCATTGATCAGAGTAGCTAAGTCATTCATAGTTAATTGTCATACAATATTGCTATTACTTGTATACAATGTTCTTCTGATTCTGCTCACTGCACTTTGTATCAGTTCATCTTAGTCTCCGCAGGATTTTCTGAAGTGATCCTGTTCATCATTGCTTTCTTTTTTAAAAAAATTATTTATTTATTTTTAACATTTTTCTTTTTAAATTTTGAGTTCAAATAGTTTTGTAACATATATGTCCTTTCCTGTTTTTCATCTCTTTGGGATCCAGATCTAGTAGTGGTTTTGCTGGGTCAAAGGGTATGCACAGTTTTATAGCCCTTTGGGTCTAGTTTCAAATTGTTCTCCAGAATGGTTGGACCAATTCACTACCCCAACAAGAATTTAAGTATACCTATTTTCCCCTCATCTCCTCTAGCATTTGTCATTTCTGATAGATGGGAGGTGGTGCCCAGAGTTGTTTTAATTTGCCTTTTGCTAATAAATAGTGATTTAAAGTATTTTTTCATATGACTATAGATAGCTCTGACTTCTTCTGAAAACTGCCAGTTTATATCCTTTGACCATTTACCTGTTGGGAAATGGTTTTTATTTTTATAAGTTTGACTCAATTCTATATTCAGTATATATTTGGGGGGAAATGAGGTCTTTGTCAGAGAAATTTACTGTAATTTTTTATATTACTGCATCGTCTACAGTAAAATGTAGTTTCCCTGATTATCCCTTTAAGTTAGATCTATTTTTGCTTTTGCTTCATCTTGAGATCATGATCGCTACCTCTGCCTTTTTTTTAAATTCACCTGAAGCATATTAGATTCTGTGTACATCTTTCTGTTTCAAGTTTCTTGTAAACAACATATCGTTTTTTTTTCTGTGTGCATCTTTCTGTTTCAAGTTTCTTGTAAACAATATATCGGTTTTTTTCTGTGTGCATCTTTCTGTTTCAAGTTTCTTGTAAACAATATATTGTTGAATTCTGGTTTCTAATCCATTCTGGTATCCTCTTCCATTTTCTGGGTGGGCTCATCCCATTCACATTCATAGTTATGATTACTATGTATTTTCCTCTATGCCATTTTCTTCTGTTTATTCTCTCTATCTTTTTATCCTGTCCCTCCTCAAAAGTTTATTTTGCTTCTAACCACTGCCTCCCTTAATCTGTCCTCTCTTTTATCATTCCCCCCTTTCTCTTATCTTTCACCCCTCCTATTTCCTAATGGCAAAGTCACACTTCTTTAGACAACTGAGTATATGTGTATACATAAATATGTGTCTGCATGTGTGTACACACATATATTCTTCCCTCTTTAAACTAATTCTGATAAGAATGAGATTCAGACATTACCTGCCACTCCCTATTTCCCCTCCACTGCAAAAATTCTTCCTTGTATGCCTATTTTATGTGAGAAA